CCGTCCAAGTAGCTGGAATTACAGGCATGCACTACCACGCCCGGCTGATTTTTTTTTTATTTATTATAGAGATGAGGTCTCGCTGCCCAGGCGGGTCTCGAACCCGCGGGCTCAGGCAATCCACTCACCTCAGCCTCCCAAAGGCGCGGGATTACAGGCTGAGCCACCGAGCCCGACTAGGGCTCATCTTCAACAGCACAGGGCCTAGAATCTAGAGCGACTCACAGGGAAATACCTATACCTTTCCAGTTCACCTATTGTAAATGGTTTCCAACTATGTAAACTTTAAGATAAAAAAACTTATCTGAACATATTCCTCTAGCATCGGAAATGCCTGTAATCCTAGCACTTTGAGAGGTAGAGGCGAGAGGATTGCCTGAGCCCAGGGGCTCGAGATCAGTCCAGGCAACTTGGAGAGACTTCAATTCTACAATAAATCATAAAATTAGCCAGGCATGGTGGTGCACACTGTCGCTCCAGCTACTTGGAAGACTGAGGCAGAAGGATCGCCTGAGCCCAGCAGGTCGAGGCTGCGGTGACCATGAGCATGCCACTGCACTCCAGCCTGGGTGACAGAGTGAGACTCCAAATCAAGAAAAAAATAAAAAATAAAAAAAAGAGAAATCTAAAAGAAAGCATATTGTAATGTATTATGAATTATTTAAAACATATAAAATATATAAAGTAATAAGATGAACACCCATGTACTCACTACCCTGCTTAAAAATAAAACATTTCCAATTTAGTTGAACACCCCACATGTACTCCTCCACAATAAAACTGGAATTTTTTTTGCAGCCAAAAAATGTATAGAGGTTGTATCTAAACTAAACAATCAAAACACTTTAGCACCAGGATGGTGGCTCACACCTATAATCTCAGCACTTTGAGAGGCTAAAGTGGAAAGATGCTTGAGCCCAGGAGTTCGACACGAACCTGAGAGATCTCATTTCTAAAAAAATTTTTTTTTAGCCAGGCTCAGTGGCTCAGCCTGTAATCCCGCACCTTTGGGAGGCTGAGGTGAGTGGAATGCCTGAGCCCGCGGATTCAAGACCCGCCTGGGCAGGCAAGACCTCATCTCTACAATAAACCAAAAAATTAGCCAGGTGTGGTAGTGCATGCCTGTAGTTCCAGCTACTTGGAAGGCTGAGGCAGAATGATCACTGGAGCCCAGCAAGTTGAGGCTGCGGTGGCTGAGAGCGGCCACTGCACTCCAGTCTGGGTGACAGAGTGAGATTCCAACTCAAAAAAAAAAAAAAATTTTTTTTAATTAGCCAGGTGTGGTGTCATATATCTGTAGTCCCAGCTACCCAGGAGGCTGACACAGGTGGACTACTGAGCCCAGAAGTTGAAGGCTGCAGTGAGCTGTGATCATACCACTGCACTCTGGCCTGAGCTACAGAGTGAGATTCTGACTCCAAACAAACAGACAAAAACAAAAACAAAACCCCATCACTTTAGCAAGTGAAATCTAAAGCTGTGAAAGCAACAAGTCATTAAAGCAATATAAAATAATTTATCATAGGAAAACATAATGATGTATATGTCATGCTGAGGATCATTAAAAATGTTTATGAGGCTGATAGATCCTCTTGCCACAGATCAGCATGTCCTTAGGAGACAAGGGTCTTGACAATGGTTCTGCAAAAAACAAGGGAAAAGGAAGGAAGAATAAGTAATCTTCCTATAGCACATTGTCCTACCAAAGTTTGTAGGAAGGACTATGGTCTGCAGAAGAAATAAAATGCCACCCTAGCCTAGTGTATGAATTCACCCATAAAGACTATGAAATTTCCTACAGAATTGAGAAATCAGAATCTACCGTGAACATCAAGAAGGCATCCTTCTTATTCAGCTGAAAGAGAGCCTTTCTCATCCCAGTGAAAGACCCCTTGAGCTCTGTCTCCATGTCAGATTTCTGTGAGGCTAGAAAATTAGAATGAAATTAAACAAATGTCAGACTTTACTTTGGGGCCCCTTTCTAGTCTATTCTGTTAAAACAGTGTTTCCCAGCCAGACTCGGTGGCTCAGCCTGTAATTCCCTGCCTTTGGGAGGCTGAGGTGAGTGGATTGCCTGAGCCCGCGGGTTCGAGACCCACCTGGGCAAGTGGTGAGATCTCATCTCTACAATAAATCAAAATGAGCCGGGTGTAGTAGTGCGCGCCTGTAGTTCCAGCTACTCAGAAGGCTGAGGCGGAAGGATCGCCGGAGCCCAGCAGGTCGAGGCTGCAGTGGCCGGGAGCGGCCACTGCACTCCAGTCTGGGCGACAGAGTAAGACTCCGACTCAAAAAAACAAACAAAAAAACAGTGTTTCCCAAACTTGCCTAATAAGATTCAGCTGAGGAAAGTAAAAAATACCCAGTTTATTAGCTGGGCATGGATGGCAAGTGCCTGTAATCCCAGCTACTCAGGAGGGTGAGATGTGAGGATTGCATGAGTCAGGAGTTCAACACTATAGTGCTCTATGGTTGCACCTGTAAATAGCCACTGCACTCCAGCCTGGGCAACATAGCAAGACCTTGTCCCTAAAATTTGAAGAAAAGAAATCCAGGTTCTCAAGCCCCTACCTAGAGATTTTGACACAGCAGGTGTGGAATGAGGCCCAAAAATCTTTATTTATTTATTTTAACAAGCACCAGGTGATTCTTATATTCAGGCCAATTTGGGAAATATTAGCATATAGTATTTCTCAAGATCCTCTTCAGGGCAATAAGAACATTTGCATTAGCCACACACTGTCCTGGAAAAGAGATGAACCAGGACCTCACAGTTCCTAGCTGAACCTCATTCTGGCATCATTACATTTATACCTAGACCTTTAAAGAGAGAAGGAAAGCCTGATAGGACCCACGAGCCTATAGCAAAGTGGTTCCCAAATACAGGTCAAAGGGTCCAGAGCTACTTCACAGAAACATTTTTTTTCCACCTGCATTGATAAGAAAAATAAGAATGATGTCATGAATTTCAAAACATTTATTATGAAATATTTAAGACATATAAAAATATAAAGGTGGCCGGGAACTTTCCTGTACTCTCAATAAATTCCTTTCTTATCCAAAAATAAAAAAATGTATAAAGGTACAGAGAATAATATAACACCTGTGTACCCACCTCCCAACTTAGAAAGCATTAAGATGTCCTTTAAGTGATGATGATAGTATTTTTTAATGCTTTTACTTTTAAAAAGTTAAAAGTTGATAACCTTTCATTTTCCCAAAAATTCTTTGAAATTTTACTATTATGTGAAAGGCCAAAGTCTGAGAACCACTGGGAAGTACTCATTTGGGATATCATTATGTACCACTTATAGAAGAGGAGTTATCCAGACCTAGATCCAGGGCAAACCATGCTTCTTGCTGTTCAGAGCATCCAATCAGCACAGAATCTTCTACTCTTTGTGCATTCTGTCCAAATTTATCCAGGAGCATTTCCAACTCTAAGAAACAGAAAGGAGAAGGGAGAAAAACAAAAAAACAAGGGTTTAAATTAAATCATTACAGTCATATTAGACTGACAGGTAATCATTCCGCCTAAAGTAGCTGTACTTGGCTTCACTTGCTGCCCTGCTGCTAATTGGCTAACCTTGGTCTAATTATTTAACCCGTCGAGGTCTTGGCTTCTTCTGATTCTCATCAGCCATCTTAAGAGTTTAAACCAAAGAAGGAAATCTATACAACACTATACTACTCCATGATTGTACCATGAAAAGAACATACCCCTAGTTAGTAAGATGCATGGTAGTTAATTTATTACTGCATTGAAAAAAGTAAGAATCACCCGTAAAATGGTAGAGACCAATCCTGTTCTATGATTAGGCTCCAGATTGTGCTGCTTTTGTGAGTCACTTGTCTTTAATATGAGATCCCATTCTAAAGACAAGTGCTGTGTAGGGAGAAAAACCTCACAGAGGACTCATATTATTTGTTCATAGTACAAAATAACATTGCTTAATCTCTAAATAATGTTTAGTGCCTTCTGATGGAGTCCATATTTGTCTATACAGCTGGGAACTACCTACCCAAGTACTCTAACATCTGATCTACAAGGGAAATTCACTGGCAAATATTTAGAAGTTAGCCGGAATATACTGATAGTTCATAAATCAAAAGTTCCCATTTTGAATGCCAAATCCCAATGGCTCAGATAACTCTAGTTATACATACTAAAAGCATTCTCAAATTTTAATTTTGGCCCTTCTAGTAAAAATGGGAAGTGATTATGCAAATCTTCAACAGTGCGACAGTGTGAAACTCCACAGAGGCTGGAAATCACCGATTTAAGGCAGAGGTTGGCAAACATTTTCTGGAAAGAGATACTAAATATTTTAGGCTTTGTGAGTCATATAGTCTCTCGTCACAACTCAGTATTGTAATGCAAAAGCAGCATAGTTGACATGCAAATGAACGAGTGTGGCTATGTTCCAATAAAGATATATTTGCAAAACAGACAGCAGATCCAATCTGGACAGAGTTTTGCCAACAACTGGCTTAAGGCATTAATGGTTCACATCATTACTAAATAGGCCGGGCTTGGTAACTCAGCCTGTAATCCCAGCACTTTGGGAGGCCGAGGCAAGTGTATCGCCTGAGCCCGTGGGTTCGAGACCAGCCTGGGCAACCTGGCAAGACCTCGTTTCTACAATTAAAAATATATATATTAGCTGGGTGTGGTAGTGTGTGCCTGTAGTTCTGGCTACTTGGAAGGCTGAGGCGGGAGAATCACTGGAGCCCAGCAGGTCGAAGCTAGGGTGGCAATCAGTGTGCCACTGCACCCCAGCCTGGGCGACAGAGTGAGATTCCAACGTAAAACAAAAAAAGACACAACAACATATCATCACTAAATAATATTTGACTAGACAACTAGAGTTCACAAAATAAATTTTTATGTGGCAGAAACAGTTACACAAGCTTGGGACTCAAAAGCTATAAGGCCTAGCATAGTGGCTCTGCCTGTGTAATCCCAGCACTTTGGGAAATTGAGGTGGGTGGACTGCTTAAGCCCAGGAGTCCGAGATCAGTCTGGGCAACGTAGCGGGACCTTGTCTCTATAGAAAAAACTTTAAAAAAAAAAAATTTTAAAAAGCTATTTGAAAAATCTGGACTTTAAAGTTTAAAGATCTTTCTTAGAGTTTCATTATGGATTGAATTCTCCTTAATGGTCATAGGCTGATCAACCCCACTGGACCACTTTGGACTTACCTAATAGGCTATACCGGGGGGGCCAATATTGATGTGCTGAAGACTGAATCAAAGGAGCCAAGCTGTGAAAGAGGTAAAACGCTCCCGTCTGCTGGGCTTTTTTACACGCATCATCATCTTCCTTCAGTTCACATAAATACCTGTTTGGGGTAACCATTATAATCAAACCATTATAAAGCCACACTTAGTTGCACAGCACTCATCTTTGAGAATTCTGCTCCTTTATTTATTTACATCTTAATTTGCTCCAAAAAGGATTTGAGGTGACTACAGGTAAACATTCAGTCCCTCCTTTGTCCTACTGCATTTCTTGCCCGTGCTTCTTTTTACTTTTTATTTTGGAGATAGGGTCTTGCTCTGTCACCCAGGCTGGAGTACAGTGGCACAATCACAGCTCACTGCAACCTTGAACTCCTGGGCTGAGGTGATCCTTCTGCCTCAGCCTCCCAAGTGGCTGGGACTACAGGCATGCACCACTATACGTGGCTACTTTTTTTGTTGTTTTGGTAGATACAGGGTCTCACTATGTTGCACAGGCTGGTCTTGAACTCTTGGCCTCAAGTGATCCTCCTGCCTTGGTCAACCAAAACACTGGGATTACAGGTATGAGCACTGTGCCCCGCCTCCTTGCCCATATTTCTGTGTTTGCACTACTATATTATTTATTCATTTGTCTCTCCTGAAAGACTATGATCTCCTTAAGGGTAGGATCTGCCTTAATCAGCTCTGTATTTCAGTAATTAGCATACAGAATGGCTCAATTCAATAAATATTTATTGAGTTGAACTTCAAGGGTAATAAATATTTACTGAATTGAACCTCAAGGTACTCTGCCAATATTACACTGTGAGGCAAGTATTTACATGCAATGGAGAGAAAGGAAAACAAGTGCAGTGATAAAACATCAACCACAGAATACCTGGAGATGGGCACAGACTTTATTATTGCAGAGAAAGAGCAAATACCATATCCTCAGTAACTCCCATTCCATCTAGGGAAGATAAGAACAAATTGACCTTCAGCGTAACCTTGTTTCGCACGTCTATCCCCCAAAGTGGCTACCATTAGCTTATGTCTATAGAAAGGACCACTGATGGGGCCTATATTTATTTATTTATTTATTTTGAGTTGGAGTCTCATTCTGTCGCCCAGACTGGAATGCAGTGGCCGCTCCCGGCCACCGCAGCCTGGAGCTCCTGGGCTCCGGCAATCCTTCCGCCTCAGCCTTCCAAGTAGCCAGAATTACAGGCATGCGCTACCACACCCGGCTGACTTTTTGATTTATTGTAAAGATGAGGTCTCGCTGCCCAGGTGAGTCTCGAACCCGCGAGCTCAGGCAATCCACTCACCTCAGCCTCCCAAAGGCAGGGGATTACAGGCTGAGCCACCGAGCCAGGCTGGGGCCTATATTTAACCTATCTAATAAGGATAATATTTTCAGTAGCCAAAGTGAAAATGAGGAAAAAGAGAACAACCCATTATCGATTTCTCAAAAAGAGACAGTAATGGGGTGAGCTCTAGGCTTTTCCATCACCTTCATTAAGGGTAAGTCGCTTCCTTCGAGAGCCTTGAGAACCAACTCAGGGTCCTAGTAATTCAGCAAGGACAGAATGCAGAGTCTCCTGGGGGCTTAGGGTTAACTATTTTTGCCTTTCAAAAGCCCAGAAACAGACTCTCAAGTACATGGCATATTTTGTCACTTAAGTAGGAAAAAGTTTGCAGATATTTTCTGTAGGATCTGAAAACTTTTGTAACACCAGGCAGAGTTGGCTTAACATGAAAATACAAAGCAAAAAGACAAATGCACCCTAGTGGCATCTTTAGGAACCTACTTTGTATGATTAAAGAGGTTGCAATGAACACTTATAAATAGAAGACAAAAGAAATCTGATCTTTTAAGACTCATGATATTTTTAAACTTATTGTGAGTGACTGCAGCCTCCTGGGGCAAAGACTCAATGTATGTCAAAGGAGAGACATGTGTCACTCAGAAGTTACCAAATATCAACAGAACAAACACTGCTGCCTTCGTAAAAGAACAGTAAAAGTGGGACAACCTGTGCTTTGCCCTAATGCCCCCGAAAAAAAGCAGAACGCCTACAAAAACACCTAGGTTAAGGTCTTAAACCCAGGGCTGGAACTTACTGGAACTGGAACTGAGGATCCAAAAGTTCCTTACACTCCTCTGGATCAGGAACTCTATTTTTAAAAATTCATTTTCTCCCCTCTGGATCAGGAACTCTATTTTTAAAAATTATTTCCATAACATGGAAACCACTACACAAAGATTATCAAGACTGAAAACTTCTAATTATTTTAAAACGTTAACTGCTTTTTTCTTATTATAAAAAGTCATTTTTGGCCGGGCTCGGTGGCTCAGGCTGTATCCCAGCACTTTGGGGGGCCGAGGTGAGTAGATTGCCTGAGCCCGCGGGTTCAAGACCCGCCTGGGCAACCTGGTGAGACCTCATCTCTACAATAAATCAAAAAATCAGCCGGGCATGGTAGCGCGCGCCTATAGTTCCAGCTCCTCGGAAGGCTGAGGCGGAAGGATCGCCGGAGCCCAGCAGGTTGAGGCTGCGGTAGCCGCTCCCACTGCACTCCAGTCTGGGCGACAGAGTGAGACTCCAACTCAAAAAAAAATTAAAAATTCATTTTTAGTAATCAGAAAATAATGATCAATTTCTAAAACAGAAAATCATCACAATCCCACCACTCAGGGATGATCACTGTTTAGACTTTGGAATTCTCCAAATTATTGTTATACATATATAGTATAGGTATATATAGAATCTATAATTTCTAATTTGTAGTCTTTTTTCTTAAATATTATACACTTTTTTCACTCACATTCTTGACTTATAGACTATTCTTTTTTCATGACTTTGATTCATTTTAAGATATATTTAATCACTTTAACATACTTAGTATTTAGACCCTATTTAATGATTCTGTCATTATTCTTGGATTCTCAGTCTGAGGAGTACAAGCAATTGAATGTCCAACAATATCTAAAACAAGTATTGTATTTTTGTTGTCGTTCACCTTTATTCATGTAGGATAGTGTGCTTATGTGTCTCTAAATTTTGGACTGGGCACTCATGTTTGGCCCAGGAAACAGGAAGCCCTGGTTGTGGGTATATCCCTCCTGAGGTGTTTTACATTTGCATTTGCATGGTGTCCCAGGGTGTTACTAGCCCAAGATGACTCCTTAAATTCATTTCTTAGGTGGGGATTTCTAAGACCACACCACACAGATAGTATAAATTTAAACCTCAAAACTGTGTGAGAACAGATTTCACATTTCTCCAGGTGGAGACGAAGAAGTCCTTTATCATCCTCAGGTGCTATTATAGATTTTTTTTCTAGTCTACGTTTCAATTAAGTTTAGTTCTTAGGGTAGAGTGGGTATTTTCAAGAAACTTAAAGAAATATTATTCAAAATCATTTTTTTTTTAATTTTAAAGATGTGGGATACAATTCAGGGTTAGGTATACAAATGTTCATTACACAGGTTTCCTTGTTGATGAAGTGTGCCCCTTCCTCCCCTGGCAGTTTCCCCCTGCTGTCAATCCCTTTTTTACAGTGTATATAATCATTGTTCAAGGTCCGCTTATGAGTGAGAACATATGGTACTCTGTTCTTTGTTTCTTAGATCACTGAGTATGAGAGACTCTAAATCCATTCAAGTTGCTGTCAAAATCATTTTCCAAAAAAATCTGAAGTAACAGGCATAAAACAATTTTGTTTTCAATGTATTTATTATTTCATTATGCAAATGTACCTTAAAATTTATTTTATGTATCCCTTCCTGTTTATTTATTCAGCAATACTTCATTCAGTACCTACTATGTGCCAGACACTGTTTTATAATGTATACCATAGTGGAAAGATAAAACCTTGTCTTAATAGAACTTATATTCAAGTGTGTGAAACATTTTAAATATTTTAGAAATCATTGGATATTTAGTTTTTCAAAAATTTGCCCAATTATAAGTATCTTGAATAAACATCCTTATAGGTAAATAATTATCACACATCTTTAATCCTCAATACAGGATCTTAAAATGTTTAGATTTTACAATTGTTTAGAAAAAACTCTCAAACTGCTTTATCTTCCTCTGCTCTCCTACCACAGCAATCAATACAGAAGACTTCTGTGACCAAATATTGGTTTCTCCTCATTGACAAGCAGTGGACACCAGTTGAGTACCCTACAATTCAATTCTGACACTATCTACCTGGAGATAGTGTGAGTTCCCATAGGTTGAGGGCTCAGTCTCCAAGAATGCCCCCCTACTTTAGACACCAACTGCAAGTCTGAGCCTCCAGAGCTTCTGACCAACTGGCTTCAAATTAGGGTTCCCATAACCTACTCTTTGAACTTAATTTGCTGGAACCGTTCATAAAACTCAGGGAAACACATTTACCAGTTTATTATAAAGGGTATTAGAAGGCCAGATGCGGGGGCTCACGCACCTTGAAAGACTGAGGTAAAAGGATTGCTTGAGCTCAGAATTTTGAGACCAGTCTAAGCAACATAGTGAGACCTCATCTCTATACAAAATAAAAAAATTAGCCAGGCGTGATGGTGCATGCCTGTAGAGCCAGCTACTCAAAAGGCTGAAGCAGAAGGATCGTCTGAACCCAGGGGGTCGAGGCTGTGATCAGGTCACTGCAATCCAGCCTAGGCAACAGAATGAGACTCTGGTTCAAAATTAATAAATAAATAAACAAACAGAAATAAAGGATATTAGGATACAGATGAAGAGATGCATAGAGCAAGGTATGCAGGAAGAAATATGGAGCTTCCATGCCCTCCCTGGGTGCATCACACTCCAGGAACCTCCACACATTCAGCTATCTGGACTCCTGTCCCCTATTTTTATGGAGGTTTCACTACAGAGGCATGATTGATAACTGTGCAGAAACGTGACTGGACAGGCTGGGCATGGTGGCTCAAGCCTATAATCAAAGCACGTGGGAGGCCCAAGTGAGAGGATTGCCTGAGCCCATGGGTTGGAGACCAGCCTGGGCAACTTGGCAAGACCTCATCTCTATAATAAATTTTTAAAAAGAATTATCTGGGCATGGTGGTGCACGCCTGTAGTTCCAGCTACTTGGAAGGCTGAAGCTGAAGGATCGCCTGAGCCCAGTAGGTCAAGTCTGGCCATGAGCAGCATGCCACTGCACTCCAGCCTGGGCAATAGAGTAAGACTCCAACTCAAAAAAAAAAAAGAAAAGAAATGTGATTGGACAAAAAAGGGTATGATCTTTATTAACTGTCTGAATAGGAAAACCCAGCAAGGCCTGGCTGTTCAGATTGTTCTTGGCCTCTCTGTGGAGTATTCCTTCCTCCAGAGTAAGGGCAGGATCTTCTCTGGAATGAGGGTCTTTTGACCCACAATTCAATTAGAGTCCTGCCTTGGGCCGGTAAAAGGAGGACAGGAGAGGGTCAGAGATAGTGATTGTTTCCTGAGTCCTGCTCCTGAGGCCTCACATGCCCCAACATCATCACAAAAGACTGTCACTAGGGCTACGGGAGTTATAAGCCAGGAATCACAGGCAAAAATCAATATATACATATATAAATATACATATAATTATAACATTACAATAATTTAATGGGCCAAAGATAGAATAATCAGAGCTCAGGTTCATTAAACTTACCGTGTCTTAGTAACATAGGTGGACAGCAGCCTATGCCACCAAAACGATTTTCTCCTGCAAACAATTCCACAATACAGAGACATTGTCAGGTCCTTAGAGAAAACAGAAGTGAAAAAAAGGTCATGGTATGAAATTTAAAGTAATGAATTGCCAAGAGGGTTATATTTTAAGCCAGGATGGGATCACTTTGTAATATTAAGAAAACAAACTAAGAAGGAGTCAGCTGATCTGGCTTCTACATTGCATTTCTACACTAACTGTGTGATATCAACTTTTCAGTACTTTCCTAATCTACAAAATTGAAATCTGTTTTATCTACCTAGAATAAAAATGAAACAGGAGGAATCCTATAGATAAGATGAATATAATATCACAGTCATTAGGAAGGTATTTCAAAAGGCAGCAATACAAATTCACACGGATTCAACATATTTTCTATTTTTTGTAGTTCACCGGGAGAGAAAAAATTCTGTATCTAAAGACTCTATTCTGCAGAAGATAGTCCTTTTAAAATTATATATCAGTAAGTATATATCAGTAACATTTTCTTCCCCATGAAAAGTACCTTTCAATTAACAATAAAAACATGAAGACAGCCAGGCTCGGTGTCTCAGCCTGTAATCCCAGCACTTTGGGAGGCTGAGGCGAGAGGATTGCCTGAGCCCATGGGTTTGAGACTCACCCAGGCAACTTGGCGAGTCCTCATCTCTACAATAAATCCAAAAAAGTAGCTGGACGTGGTAGTGCACGCCTGTAGTTCTGGCTACTTGGAAGACTGAAGCGGAAGGATCTCCAGAGCCCAGCAGGTCAAGGCTGAGGTGGCCGGGAGCATGCCACTGCCCTCCAGCACTCTGGGTGACAGAGTGAGACCCCAACGCAAAAAAAAAAAAAAATCAAGACATTCCACTGAAAAAAATGAGAAAACCAATCCAGTTAAATAAAGGGTAGTTGTACCCTTTAACTGTGCCCAATGAAAACAAGCTTTGACACAAAACTACGAAGTAGCATCTAAAGTTTAGGCCCACTTCTTGATTGTGTAATTATGAATCACTGATGACTAATCTTTAGACAGCTTTGACTACAATTTCTGTCCTAGTCAAGGGCTAACTATATATAGCCAGTGACATTCAACAAAGTATTTATTGAGTACTGACTTTTATTCAAGGTTCCTTAAGGAACAAAAATGTATAGGATGAAAATTCCTGCTCTCAAGGAACTCTAGCAGGAGAGAGAAAACAAATATATAACTAACTTTCACAGAAGGTAAGAGATGATATGTTGCAAAGCAGTCTAGGAGAATATTAAAGGTATAATCCATATTTTACTAACCCAAGAACTAGTGTGAGATACTGGAAGAAATGTATTTAAAGTCAATATTTCTGGCTCATATACATCTCTGAGAATGTAGATTGGTATGATATTTTTGAAGGTTAGTTTGAGAATATCTGTTAAATGGTAAATAAGCATCCTTCTCACCTAGAAATTTCATGTCTAGGAATTTATCCTAGGAAAGAAAGGATATGTAAAAGAACATTAACTGAAAGTTATGATAAAATTCATTCATACACAGCCTGAAAAATAAATAGAAAATAAAATTTTAAAATTATAGATGTAGTAACAGAGAAAGATATTCAGAATATATTAAGTTAAAAAAAACCAAGTAGGGCTGGGTGCAGTGGCTCACACCTGTAATCTTAGCACTTTGGGAGGTCGAGGTGGGGTAACTGCTTGAGGCAAGGAGTTCCAGACCAACCTAGGCAACATAACAACCTTGTTTCTACAAAAAATTAAAATTAAAAATAGCCAACCGTGATTAGCCAGGCATGGTGGCATGCATCTGTAGTTCCAGCTACTTAAGAGGCTGAGGCAGGAGTATCACTTGAGACCAGAAGTTTGAGACTGCAGTGAACCATGATCATACCACTGCACTCCAGCCTAGGTGACAAAGTGACACTGTTTCCAAAAAAAAAGAAAAGAAAAAAGCAAGGTGGGTTTGGGGAGATGTTGGGCAAAAGGTACAAAATTTCAGACAGGATGAGTAAATTCTGAGTTCTCTTGTGCTGTATGATGACTATAGTTAATAATAATGTTTTATATACTAGAAACTTACTAAGAAGTTGGGCTCGGTGGCTCAGCCTGTAATCCCGCGCCTTTGGGAGGCTGAGGTGAGTGGATTGCCTGAGCCTGTGGGTTCGAGACCCACCTGGGCAGCAAGACCTCATCTCTACAATAAATCAAAAAATTAGCCGGGCGTGGTAGCACATGCCTGTAATTCCGGCTACTTGGAAGACTGAGGCGGAAGGATCGCAGGAGCCCAGCAGGTCGAGGCTGCGGTGGCCGGGAGCGGCCACTGCACTCCAGTCTGGGCGACACAGTGAGACTCCAACTCAAAAAAAAAAAAAAAAAACTTACTAAGAGAATAGATATTAAATGTTGTCACCACAAAAAAGTATGTGACGTGATGCATATGATAATTAGTTTGATTTAATCATTTCACAGTATATCTATATACTAAAACATCATGTTGTACACTGTAAATATATACAATTTTTTTGTCAATTATAACTTAATAAAGCTAGAGAAAAAAAGCAAGAAATAGTTGGTTAGCATGATCTAATTAATTTATAAGAAAAGGAGATATTTATACACACACACACACACCCCAGCACACACAAATTAATATGTATTTATTTATATTTTTTAAATGACTAAAAGTATACATAGCAAACTATTAAGAGTGACTGATTTGAGAGAGCGGGATGAAGATAAGGATTGAGAGTACTTGTAATTTTTACTTTCTTTACTTGTCTATACTAAAAAAACGTTTCACCATGTGTACATATTCCTTTGAAGATAAAATAAATTGAAGTAAAACAGTAGTTTCAGGGACTAACTGTTCGGTGAGGCAATTTCCAGGCCACTGTTTCCAGAAGTACTCCACCATATTCCCTGTGAGCCAAAGGAAATTCCTTTGGTGAGTTTTTTGGATCCTGAGAACTGCAAAAGCTGCCTGGTTGTAGTTGTGACTACCGACTATTCTGCATGGCCCACTGTCGTTGGCTGCTTGATTTTTTGCCTACTTTCTGTTACTAAATTAACCTTAGCCAGTTGCGGATTATCATGGCCTGCTGACTCATGAGTTGGTTGTCATAGAACTATTTATGTTTTCAAAACTACAAAGCCTGGTAGAGACGAAAGGTAATATATCATTTTTACCATAACTATTAAATGATAAGGCAAGGTCCTTAACATAGTTTCTCTGAATTCTCTGTAATAAATGATTCACATGTTACTCATCATGTTCATCTTTCCAGGAGAAAGGTTAATTTATAAAGCACTAAAGCATGACTAAAAAACCCATCTTGAACCTCGTGGTTACCTCCACCAAAAAGAGGCTAGCTTCTGTACTGTTTGAGAAAGCTCTTTTGAGAGTCCATCTCCTCAAGACTGTGGAGGTCAGTGGACTGGAGAAATAATGCAAAACTAAGGAACCACTGGGATACGGATCCCTGGTCTCACTGACCTGCTTTATAGTTTGCTTTTCAAAACTAATTTTCCCTCCCTTAACTCAAAAATTAAGGTATAATGTGAGAAGTTAGCAAGCTCCATTTTAAATGACCATCCAAAAAAGTATCTGAAAATGATTAGCTGTGGTTACCTTGATAGCACCACAATTATGAGACAAAACTAGTCATTCCCCTGGTTTCTGCAAGAAGGAAGACAGATTAAGCTAAAGTTGTCAAATGCTGTGACCAAGGACTTTTTTCAAGTTCTGGTTATGCTTCCCTATAAATTCCTTCTTGCACTTAGAACCTGAGCAGGTTTCTGTTCACTGTACTCACTCTGAATTCTTTTGGGAGCAACTTCCTAGGCCTCAAGAATCAGTAGAAACCAGGAAACTCCAAATGTTCAAGTTTCAGTAACTGCCCTTCCCCGGAAGTATGTTCATTGCTTTTGCCACACTTCCCAGAATCCTCCTAAAAGATGCACTCTAGGAAATGTAGTTTAATCTCTGTGTCCACTGTAGTAGATAACTATGGCCATCAAAAGCATACTTCTGCCACACTTCCCAGAATTCTCCTAGAGATGCATCCTGGGAACTGTAGTTCAATTCCCAGGCATGTGTCCTCCAGCTGCAAAGTTAACCATGGTTATCAAAAGCATGATCTTCTAACATCTTATTACCAAGAGAATTACTGTGTCTTTGGAGAAAGTAGAGTAGTATGAGATCCATTTTTTAATAACAAATGATGAAGTCATTAAACTCACCCTATGAACAGAAGACATACATTACAAGGGTGGAGGTGGAAAGAAGGGGAGTGGGAATCAGATATTTTTCAAACTTTCCGTACCTCTAGTTCTATATCTTTTTGCCCACTTTAGAATCAGCTCTAAAGTTTCATGAAATTTTGCCAATTTAAGAGGAAAGGACTGTGTCTAGATATATTTGAACTTAATTACTTGACTAATCAAAGAAGCATTCCATCTGCATGGAAGCAATCTCCTGGCAAAACTACTTTGGTGCTTGTCTTCTTCTGATGTTACTACGAAAGCTACTTGCCTGTATGAGAAGACAGCTTTGAAGGCCTCCATTCAACATATATTTAATGAGCACCCAATGTGCCTGGGACTGTTACAGGCATAGGATATACCAGATAATAAAACATACAAATTTCTGTCCTCCTGTAACTTCCATTTTAGAGGGGAGACAAACAAATAAATGAATAGGCCGGGTGCAGAGGCTCAAGCCTGTAATCCCAGCACTTTAGGAAGCTGAGGCAACAGGATTGCCTGAGCTCAGGGGCTCAAGACCAGCCCGGGCAACTTGGTGGGACCTTGTCTCTACAATAAATAAAAAATTAGCCAGGCATGGTAGTGTGCGCCTGTAGTTCCAGCTACTTGGAAGACTGAGGTGGAAGAGTCGCCTGAGCCCCACAGGTCGAGGTTGCGGTGGCCATGAGCGTGCCACTGCACTCCAGCCCAGGCGACAAGTGAGACCCCGACTCAAAAAAACAAAAACAAAAACAAAACAAGTAAATGCGTAAATATACAATGTGTCAGGTAATTATGCTAGGGATAAAAATAAAGCAAGATGAGAAGAGGGATTATTTTGCTATTTTATATAGGAGAGTCTGCCTCATTGTTTTGTTTTGTTTGTTTTCTTTTGTTTTTGAGTAGGAGTCCCACTCTGTCGCCCAAGCTGGAGTTCAGCGGTACAATCATGGCCATTGCAGCCTCAACCTGCTGGGCTCAGACAGTCTTTCTGTCTCAGCTTTCTAAGTACCTGGAACTACAGGTACATGCCACCATGCCCGGCTAATTTTTTGATTTATTGTAGAGACAGGGTCTCACCATGGTGCCCAGGCTGGTCTCGAACCTGTGGGCTGAGGCAATCTTCTCACCTTGGCCTCTTAGAGTTCTTCTGCCCCTGGCCCAGTCTCGTTGTTAAGGGAATATTTAAACAAAACCCTAAAGAAGGTGATGAGGAAGTCAAGTTTATATCTATGGAAAGAGATTTGTAGGCAGAACAAAATGAGCATACACAAAGGCCCTGGATCAAGAATATGACAGGCAGGTTTGAGGAAAGGCTAGGACAAAGCATGGTGATCAGAGATGAAGTCAAGAGCAGGCAGGTGCCAGGTCAAATTGAGCCTTACGAATCTTAAAATTCTTATGAAGTAATTTTAATGCTTTTGGTTTTACAATGAGAAGAATGGGATATTGTCAAAGAGTTTGAGCAGGAAAGTGAGATTATTTCACTTATATTTAAAAGAATCACTTTATTTATTTATTTACTTTTATTATAGAATGTGGGATACAAGTGAGGATTAACTACATAAGTACATTGCATGCAGGTGAAGTTTGGGCTTCTAACTGGCCCTCTCTTCCACTGATCAATTTAAAACATAAGGTCAGGCATGGTGGCTCATGCCTGTAATCCCAGCACTTTGGGAGGCAGAGGTGAGAGGATTGCGAGTCCAGGGGTTTGAGACCAGCCTTGGCAAACTTGGCGAGACCTCATCTCTACAGTAAATTAAAAAATTAGCCGGAGCCGGGCTCGGTGGCTCAGACTGTAATCCTGCACCTTTGGGAGGCTGAGGTGAGTGGATTGCCTGAGCCCGCGGGTTCGAGACCCGCCTGGGCAGCGAGACCTCATCTCTACAATAAAAATAAAAATAAAAAAATCAGCCGGGCGTGGTAGCGCATGCCTGTAATTCCGGCTACTCGGAAGGCTGAGGTGGAAAGATCGCTGGAGCCCAGCAGGTGAGGCTGCAGTGGCCGGGAGCGGCCACTGCACTCCAGTCTGGGCGACCGAGTGAGACTCAACTCAAAAAAAAAAAAAAATTAGCCGGGCTCGGTGGCTCAGCCTGTAATCCTGCGCCTTTGGGAGGCTGAGGTGAGTGGATTGCCTGAGCCCGCGGGTTCAAGACCCGCCTGGGCAGTGAGACCTCATCTCTACAATAAATCAAAAAATCAGCCGGGCGTGGTAGCGCGCACCTGTAATTCCGGCTACTCGGAAGGCCGAGGCGGAAGGATCGCCGGAGCCCAGCAGGTCGAGGCTGCGGTGGCCGGGAGCGGCCTCTGCACTCCAGTCTGGGCGACAGAGTGAGACTCCAACTCAAAAACAAAACAAAACAAAACAAAACAAACAAACAACAACAACAACAAAAATTAGCCAGGCATGGTGGTGTGGGACTGTAGTTCCAGCTACTTGGAAGGCTGAGGCAGAAGGATGCCTGAGCGCAGCGGGCTGAGGATGCAGTAGCTCTGTTGTGCCACTGTACTCCAGCCTGGGTGACAGAGTGAGACTCTGACTCAGAAATTGAAATAAATAAATAAATAAATGAGTCACTTTGTGTGTAGATATTAGACTGTAGGGGATAAGGGTTATTAAATCCTGAATGTCATTGTTAATATGTTCCTAGATTACATGGGAAGGAAAATTAGATCTGGTTAGTTGACCAGTCATTTCTTTTGGACCTCTTCCATTAGCACATGAACTGAAGATTTTTAAAAATCAGGCTGGTTCATTATCCTTCAGGAAGACATAGAAAATGTAAGAGAAACAAGACATAAAGCCAATGAATTCCCAAAAAATGGGGACGTGTACTTAGGAAAAATACCGGGCTCTATTAATTTTAAAAATCAAAATAACTATATTTTTAATAACTAAGTGTTAAGTGCTATAATAATAAAAATAGTTCAGAATAACTGAACATTTACTCTGTTCCAGGCACTATCCTAAATGTTTCACATATTTATCATTAATCTTCACATCCTACAAGATAGATATTATAACTTGTACTTTACTGATGAGAAAGCAAAGACTTAGAAAAGTTAATAATCTGCCCATATTTATATAACTAGCCAGTAGAAGGGCTGGGATTTTAACCCAAGCCTGTCTGCCTCGAGACAGAACCTATGCTTTTGACCACCATAACATGCTATAGACCTGGATTGTATCTCTGAGGGAAATGGAACATAACATTGGGAAATATTGGAATGATGGAAAGAATCCCATGTTCCTAGAATGGAAGACTTAATTTGGTTAAGATAGCAATAGTTCCCAAAGTAATCTACAGATCAGTGCAATTCCTGTCAAAATTCCAGCTAGCCAACCTAGGCAACACAGCGAGACTTCATCTCTACAAAAAAATGTGTTTTAGAAATCAACCAGGTATGGTGGCATGCACCTGTCATCCCAGCTACCTGGGAGGCTGATGCAGAAGGATGTCTGAGCCCAGGAGGTTGAGGCTGTGGTAAGCTGTAATTGTGCCATTGCACTCCAGCCTGGGTGGCAGAGTAAGACCCTGACTCAAAAACAAAAACAAGGTGGCTCAGCCTGTAAGCCCAAGCTTTGGGAAGCTGAGGTGAGTGGACTGCCTGAGTCTGCGGGTTCGAGACCTGCCTGGGCAAGTTGGCAAGACCTCATCTCTACAATAAATCAAAAATTAGCCAGGCATGGTAGCGCGTACCTGTAGTTCCAGCTACTTGAAAGGCTGAGGCGGAAGGATCGCTGGAGCCCAGCAGGTCGAGGCTGCGATGGCTGGGAGCGTGCCACTGCACTCCAGTCTGGGTGACAGAGTGAGACTCCAACTCAAAAAAAAAATGGCATAAGCAACAAAAGAAAAAAAATGGGGCTTTATCAAAATTTTAAAAATTTCTGTACCACAAACAACATCATCTAGAATGTAAAAAGACAACCCATACAATAGGAAAAAGATATTGTAAGACATGTATCTGATAAGGGACTAGTGACAGAATATACACAAAGGATACTTGCAACACAGTAACAAAAAGATAAACAACCCAATTTAGAAATGAGGAAAGGATCTGAATAGACATTTCTTCAGGGAAGATATAAAAATGTTCAAAAAGCACATGAAAAGATGCTTCAATATAATTTACCATCAGGAAAATGCAAACCAAAAGTATAATGAGACACTATTTTATACCTACTAGGATAGCTACAATCAAAAAAGCAGAAAATGACAAGGAATGGTGAGGATGTGGAAAAACTGGAATTCTCATACGCAGCTGGTAGACTTGTAAACGGTGCAGCTGCTTTCTAAAACAATTCCTCGTAAAGTTAAATATAGGGTTGCCCAATGACCCAGCGATTTCACTCCTGTGTGTATATGCCCAAGAGAATTGAAAATGTCTACACAAAAACCTGCTCATGAATTTATTTTTGTAATAGCATTATTCAAAGTAGCCAAAAGTAGAAACAACCCAAATTACTATCAACTGATAATAGAGAAGCAAAATGTGGTCTATCCATCCATTGTATTTGGCAATGAAGAGGAATGTTATATACCACAATATGGGTGAAGCTTGAAAACTTTATGCTAAGTGAAAGAGTCCAATTACAAAATATCACATAT